GCCTCATCCCTCCAAAAGCAGCTCTAGCTTTGTTCAGGCATGACAGTATGTCTTCCTCTGTCCCTCCCAGTAGGGACACCACGCTACCAAGATATGTGAAATGTTCTACACTTTCAAGTGTTTGGTTATTTATGGTCACTGGTTGTTGGTTTGGACTGTTTGTCATGATCTTAGTTTTCCTTGTATTTATTCTCAGTCCAACCATTTCTACTGTGCTGTGTAGTCTGTTATGTTTTTCTTGTATATGTTCATGTTTATGTGATAGGAGTGCTATATCATCTGCAAAATCAAGGTCCTCAGGTATAGTGAATGGAGTCCATCGTATGCCTCTCAATGTCATGTCTACTGTGTTCTTTAGTATCCAATCAATCACAAGGTTGAAGAGGAGAGATGACATAACACCTCCCTGTCTTACACCAGTCTTTATTGGGAAACATCTATTGTAATTTTTTTATACTGATTTATAGAAGAGAGCAATTATGTTGACTATCTTTTCTGGAATTCCATAATGTCGTAATATTTTCCAAAGACTGTCTGTCTCTATGGACGCTGTCAAAAGCTTTCTCAAAGTCCACAAAATTAATATATATATATATACTGATCTGCCATCCATTGCATTGTTCTAAAATGTTACGTAGAGGGAAGATACGCTCAGCTGTTTCTCTGCCCTTTTTTAATCCTGCTTGTTCCACTTGTAGGATTTATCGACTCCATTTTCGAGTCGCATTATGATGATTTTACAAAAAAAAATTTCTTGGTACTGAGCGTAGAGTAATTCCCCTCCAATTATTGCAGTCTGTTAAATCTCCCTTTTTGGGGATTTGGACTATTGTTCCTTCAGTCCAGTCATCAGGCAACACTTCTTTTTCCCAAATATCCTTGAACAATGGTTCTAGAATGCTAGCAGTTGTGATGGGATCTACTTTGAGCAGTTCTGCTAGCAGTTCGTCTTTGCCTGGTGCTTTGTTGTTCTTTAAAATGTGGATAGCTTTAAGGATTTCTTGTTTGCTTGGTGGTTTAATAATAATGTCAAGGTCCTGAGAGACTGGTTGAATATCTGAGGAATGTTCAGGATCAATTTATTCAAGAGGTTAGAAAAGTGTTTAATCCACTGCTTGTTTTGTTTGTGTTCTGTGGTAAGGAGTTTGCCTTGGTTATCTCTGATGGGCATTCTGTGGTAATTAATTCTGTTTCCGCTAATTTGTTGGGTAATTTTGAGTAGGGTTTGTAGATCATGTGGTTTAGCAGCAGTTTCTGCTGTTTCTTCAAGATTTTTAATAAATATTATCTTAGTTCTGGCTCTTTTCTGCACCATTTTATTTAGTTCGCTATATTCTAACATTAGTTTGTCTTTCTGACGTTCTGATTTAGTGTGATTTATGAGGTTCTTTATTCTTTTTCACTTGGCAATATAGTCCATGGTTTGATTGCTTATCCATTCTTTGTGGTGTTGTTTCCTGGTTCCTAATATGTTGTTGCTGGTTGTTTTGTATGTTTCTTTGATCTGGTTCCATCTGTCTTGAATGCTGATTGTAGTTGGAGTTTCTGGGTCACTTGACAGAGTTTGAAATCTATTCTTGAGTTCTGCTATAAACTTGGTGGCAATGTCTTTTCCTCTTAAAAGGTTGATATTGTAGCGTGCTGTCTGTGTCTTAGCTTGTATGTGCATTTGTTTTAGTTCAAGTCGCAGTAGTGCAACTACAAGGTGATGATCACTACCCACATCTGCTCCTTTTTTGACACGCACATCGAGTAGGGACCCAAACCATTTTCTGTTTACATTGAAATGGTCGATCTGGTTTACATCTCTTCTATTTGGGGATATCCATGTAAGCTTGTGTATATTCTTGTGAGGGAACAGTGTTCAACCTATAACAAGTCTATTCGCCGTGCAGAAGTCGCTCAGTCTGTCTTTGTTGTCATTAATTGTACCATATCCCTGTTTTCCCATTGACAATTCTCTATTTAAGTTGTTGTTACCAACTTTTGCATTGAGATCTCCCATAATGCATAGAATATTGTGGGCTTTTCATTATATCTACTACCTCTTGCAGTCTCCTAAAGAATGTTTCTTTATCTTTATCTTCAGCTTCATAACTCGGTGCGTAGCATTGGATGATTTAAGTTTGGCATGTTTCCCATTGAATCGTGCTGTCATAATTCTTTCATTGATTGGATGCCACTCTATGAGATGTTTGTGCATACCTTTCTTTAAAATGAGTGCCACGCCTGCTGAGTGTAGGTTATCATCACTTCCAGAATAAACTATGGTTTCTCCTGAACCTGTCGTGGATTGTCCAAACCCTGTCCACCTGCTTTCACTGATTCCAAGAATATGTAGTTTATAGTTTTGCATTTGTTTAATTACTTGGGCGGTTTTTGGCCGTTTCAAATATGGTTCTTACATTCCAGAAGCCAATTCTTATTTTGGTTTTGACGTCCAGCAGACTTGTTTTCCCATCATGGACTTCCTTTCCCATGTTGTTCGTGCTGACAGAAGGACTCTGTCTTAAGACCACCGGGCGTTTATAGCACTTATTTTTCTATTGAAGTTTCAGTAACGTTGTAGTTTTTTTTTTTATACAGGGCAGAGCTGTCAACACTGCGCCCAACCCCCGAACCCGGAGGACCGGGAGGCCATCCTTAGTCTGGCCTCTCACCAATGACCTGTCCGGCTTGGGTGACCCTGCCAGGAACATTCGTTCCTGCCGGCATAGCTCATTAGATCATTGAGGCTCTTAAGCTCCCCCACCACTACAAGGTAATGGCCTCTGGGGGGGAGAAGCCATATTCAGGTGTATTTAAATATATTTCTGTTGGTTCAGAAAAGACACGAAATTCCATAAACACTTGACATCAAAAATGAACTATTGGAGGCAGTCTTTTGAGTGAAGCTAAACTGGCATATTCAGACTGCACTGATTAAGTGATAAGGTTTAAGGTTACGCTCTGAACACATTTCAGAAGTTTTGGGAAATTTGTTTCAATTACGATCAAAGTCCTTGAAATATCAGGAGGGGAAAGATCAAATAGCAATCAGGGCTGATATAATCAACGATGTACAGACACGACTGGGAGATAACAATGTGTCTGTGATGCTAACCCGGTTTTAAGACTTGTTAATAACTCGTGAGGAAGCAAAACTTGAGAGTCCTTTTTTTTTCTTTCTTTTCCCTAGACCAAGAGTTCTTAGCCACGACCCTTTAATACAATTCCTTATGTTGTGGTAACCACCAACCATACAATAATTTTCCTTGCTGCTTCATAATTTCAGGGTTTATGTGTTTTACGATGGTTTTAGGTAACCACTGTGAAATGGTAGCGACCCACAGGATGGGAACCTCAACTCAAGAACCTAGAGCAGCGGGTCTAAACTTTTTTCGCCAAGGCACCCTTGTCGGGCTAAAAAAAAAAAAAAAAATTCGCGGCAAACCACCCCTTAATGCGGTTGAATACTTAGGAAAAGAAGAAAAAAGTGCAAATGTAATGTTCACTCGACTTTAATGCGATGAATGAAACTGTTTGGATGCATTCAGCATTAATTCCTTTTTATTTTTAGAAATGCTCGCCATTATGGATGACACCTGCCTGTGAAGACAAAGCGCCGCGTTTGAAGATTTTATATCCTTTATGTACTAAATCAGACTGATTGCATCCCAGAAGTCTCTGTAACTTAGACGGAACCAAGCGGCTGTTAGCAACACTTTTATGGCGGTTAACGCATTGCCCTTCCGGTGCATGTTCGTTTCCAACTGAAACAAGAGCCAAACAAATAAAGTTAGCTAGGATAATCTTCTTCTTCTTCGCGTTCACCAGCTGTGAACTCCGGCGGAAAGTTCTGGTTGTTCGTCCACTTCTGGACCGCAGTCCTGATCCAGAACCTGAGTGTTGCGTGTGCATCCGTTTGACAGATCTGTATGCAGACTGTTGGTTCCTTGCATCTCAGGCAGATGCACTCCGACTTCGAAGGAAGCTCCTAATTAGTCGACTCTTACGACATGTTTTTGGGTAGGCAGTGAGTCTATTCTTATTTTTCCCATAGTAAGACCCTGAAACCCACACGGGGGGCTAGGATAATATTTTCTTAAGTTCTTTCTTGGATTTTCTTTTGGTCGTGAGTTACCTTTCTGCGAACTGTTGCAGACCAACTTGGATGGCTTAGGCTCGCAGATGTCTGCTGAGACATTGTAACAATAACTTTACGTACAGACTGCACCTTAACGAATTCAGTTAGAGCATCGGTCGCACCTTGAGATAAATACATCGACAATTCCTAGCGTAACAGTTTGCACTTAATGCTGTATGAAACACGGCTGATTGTGAAACAGACAATAAACTCTTTTCGACAGCTGTGAGGGAAGACAGCTTAAATCTTAACTCTTAAGTATCTGCATGCCTTCTTTAATAATTTCACAATGTTTAGCCACCTTTTCTTGATTACTGCCGCGGCACTCCTGGCATACGCTCGCGGCACCCAGTTTGAGAACCTCTGCGCTAGTCTTCAGGCGCTAGTTTTGAAATGCTATCGGGTGCGAGTTTTTGGTGCGTGCCAAGTAGATGTTGGTCTAAGTCTAGCCATCGTTCAAAGAGCGAAACATTTCATCTGTTGCCTCTAAATTTAGTTGAGCATTTGTAGATTGATAGTTAATTATTTAATTAGTTAGTTAGTTAATCAGTTAGTTAATTAATTAGTTTTTTTTTAGTAAGCTAGCTAGCTGCTGCTGCTACTGCTGCTTCTGCTGCTACTACACTACTACTACTAACACTGCAACTGCAAAACCAATACGCCATTTATAACTACTGTAATAATATCTTTGTTCATCTGGGTAAAGGTTCAACACCACCAGCAATCAGGACAAGTCCATAGCTATTGCAACTGATATGCTTCTTCTGTTTGACCAAAGCATATCACTTGTAAAAAAAAAAAACCAGCAGTTGCTTGATCTATTAGAAGTTAACAAACATTAAGGTCACACTAAGCTATCTCCCGTCTCCCACAG